TTCTTCACTAACCCAGTAGTTTTTGAGCAAGGTGTTGTTCGGTTTCCATGTGTTTGATTTTTTTGCTTGCTTTTTCTGTTATTGCTTTCTACTTTTATGGCTTTATGGTCAGAAAAGAAGCTTTGTAATATTTCAGTGCTTTGGATTTTGTTAAGGCTTGCTTTATGGCCTAGTATGTGGTCTCTTCTGGAGACTGTTCCATGTGCGTTGGAAAAGAAAGTATACTTAGCAGCTGTTTGGTGGAGTGTTCGATACATGTCTCTGAGATCAAGTTGGTTGACTGTAGCATTTAGGTCTTCTGTGTCTTTGTTGAGCTTCTTTCTGGAAGTTCTGTCCTTCACCTAAAGTGGTATGTTGAAGTCTCTTACTACTATTGTGGAGCTGTCTGTCTCTCTTCTCAGTGCTGTTAGAGTTTATGTATTTTGGAGCCCTGTCGTTGGCTGCGTATGTATTTATTATAGTTAGGTCCTCTTGGTGTATTGACCCTTTAATCATTATACAGTGACCTTACTTATCCTTTGTGGTGGATTTTACTTTAAAGTTTATTTTGTTAGAGATTAATATTGCTAGTGCTGCTCTTTTTTGAGTGTTGTTTTCTTGATATATTTTTTTCCATCGTTTGAGTTTTAGTTTGTTTGTGTCTTTAAGTTTAAAGTTTGTCTCTTCTAGGCAGCATATAGACAGAACGTGCTTTTTTATCCAGTCTGCCACTTTCTGTGTCTTTACTGGTGCATTTATTCCATTTACATTCAGTGTAATTATTGTTAGGTATGAGTTTAGTGCTGTCATTTTGATGTCTTTTTTTGTGTGTGATTGACAATTCCTTTGTTCCACTTAATTTTCTATGCTGAGTCATTTTTCTTTATATATTTTCTTTCCATCTTTTTCATTGTTGTTGATTTTGTGTTTGCTGAGTCTTTATATTTTTCTAGTTTTTTTATTTTGACTTCTAGGATTGTTAGATTCCTTTGTGGTTACCTTAATATTTACCCCTATTTTTCTAAGTTTATACCAGTTTTTTATTTCTTTATATCGCCTTGACTACCTCTCCGTAAGAAAAATCTGTGTCTATATTTTTTAAGTCCCTCTTTTTTGTTTTAATGTTGTCATCTTTTACATATTGACATCTGTTTCCCTATTTTCAGTGTTTTAGCTTTGATTTACTTTTGTGACTTCCGTCTGTGGGTTGCTATCTGGTTGCTCTGTCCTGTGTTCTAGTCTTGGTTTGTTATCTGATGTTACTGATTTTCTAACCGGAGGACTCCCTTTAGTATTTCTTATAATTTTGGTTTGGTTTTTGCAAATTCCCTAACTTCTTTTTCTCTGGAAATACCCTAATTTTGACATCATATTCGAGAGATAGTTTTGCTGGATATATAATTCTTGGCTGGCAGTTTTTTTCCTTCAAGTCTTTGTATATGTCATCTGATTGCCTTCTTGCCTGCATCATTTCTGCTCAGTAGTCCAAGCCTGTTTTTACTGACTCTCCTTTGTTGATGACTTTTCGTTTATACCTAGCCACTCTTAAAATTCTCTCTTTATCTTTGGTTTTGGCAAGTTTGATTATAATATGTCTTGTTGACTTTCTTTTGGGATCTACCTTATGTGGGGTTCGATGAGCATTTTGGATGGATATCTTCTCATCTTTCACGATGTCAGGGAAGTTTTCTGCCAACAAATCTTCAACAATTCTCTCTGTATTTTCTGTTATCTCCGCTGTTCAGGTACTCCAGTCACTTGTAGGTTATACCTCTTGATAGAGTCCCATGTAATTCTTAGAGTTTCTTCATTTTTTTAATACTTTTATCTGATTTTTTCCTCAAATAAGTTGGTGTGAAGTACTTTATCTTCAGTCTCACTAATTCTGACTTCCATTGTCTCAGTTCTGCTCCTATGACTTTCTATTGAGTTGTCTAATTCGGAAATTTTATAGTTAATCTTCTAGATTTCTGATTGCTGTCTCTCTGTGGATTCTTGCAGCTTGTTAAATTTGTCGTTATGCTCATCTTTAATCTTTTTAATACCTCTACTGCGTGTTCTGCGTTTTGCTTAATTTCCTTCCAAATTTCTTGAAGAGTTCTGTATATTAATCTTTCGTATTCTGCCTCCAGTAATTCCAAGAAATTTTCCTCCTCTTTGTTTTTGGAGCTTGCTGAACCCATCATGGATTGCCTGTTTTTGTGATTTGATATTGACTGTTGTCTCTTAGCCATCAATAAGTTACTATATTTATTTATTTTATGTTACTTACTGTGTCCTAGCTTATTGTTTTGATATGCCCAAATAGGCTGCTCGTATGACCTAGTTTGATTATTGGCACCTTTGAAGCTCTGATGTCCTGTCACCAGGTGGTTAGATCTGTTACTTGGTATGTGAGCTCAGGAATCCACCTCCTCAGGTGCCCAGGTAGATAGCCACCAAGCGTGTGGTGCAGGCTCTCACTTACAGTCCTAGACAGGCATGGATGATTGGTGTAGGCACAGGCATCTGGCTGTGGCAGGGGGACACACTCTGAGGCAGGCAGGGGCTGACGGCCGACCCTGAGTGTCCAGGAGGAAGGTGTGTCCTTTTTCCCTAGAGCACTTAGGTGGGTGGGTTTTGAAGCTGGGCTATGAGCACCTAATGCTGTTGGCTGTAAGGACTTGGGGGCACCTCTTATTCATGGGTCCCTGTTGCAGGTGGCTGGGTGGTGTGGGTGGGGTCACCAGTCCTCAGGCCCCTGATGTGGGTAGGTGAAGACCCTGCATATTGGGCAGAGCTGTGTCAAATCTTAAGAACCTTCCACTTTACAGCTGGAACAGTTGAAGTTAGACTTCCAGTATATACCCTGTTGTACTGCAGCAGTGAGGGCCTATGCTCTTGAGATGGGCCCACACCAGTCTACGTAGGGGGAAAGGCACACAATGTCCATGGATCCCTTATGCCCGTGCGTAGGCAACGGAGCTGTGCCTACCCTGGGTTACTGGCTTAGGAGAGTCGGCAGTTTATTTTTTCCCCTGTTTGTTAATTTGTTCACTCTCCAAGGCAGGGACAATGGCTCTGGGTTTGTGACAGATCCTACTTCCAGCCCAGGGGACTTGGCAATTGCTGAAGCCAGTCTGGGACCCAGTGCAGAGCATGGAGCGGGGAGGTAGATGGGAGAGAGGTTTTTCCCTAAGTGAGGTGTTTTTGATCCACGTGTTAGGCCATGTACAAGTACTTATCTTTCGCTGATCTAGGGCTGCTTCTCACTGGTTCTGGGTAGCCATGTAGACTCTCTGGTGCTGGGTCTTTCCCGGTGCGAAGTTTGCCTCCCGAGCAGAGCTGCTTGCCTCCCTCACCGCTCACTACGGAGCTGATCAGGCTTGAAGGACTCAGGCTCTCGCTGGGTCATGTGTGGCAACTCCTCGCTGCTTCTTAACCATCTCTCCCTCCCTCTGCCACTCAGTCCAGTTCCTCATTCTGCCTTTGATGTTCAGGGCTCCCAGATTGCCATATATAATCAATTCACTTGTTTTTTTGGGTCTTTATTGTAAGATGGTCCACTGGAATTGTCTGACTACTCCGCTGTCTTTAAGCATACATTTTTAATAGTTATGATGATACCGTGTATTTATTCCTTCTTGTTTCACTTAATACTACATCATAAGCATTTTCTTGTGCTATGTCCAGTTGATAAGTAGCCCTACCCTAAATCATTGACCGTATTTCTAATTATTTCCTTAGGATAAATTTCTAGATATCCCTCTTCAACTGATGGCAGCCCATTTAGCTTACAGGCATAATCTAGCAGGAAATGATAAATTCTAGAGTTTAATCTTGCAACCATGACCTGATGAGGAATGTCACATACTTCACTGGTCTCAATTAAGTGCTCAGGTACTAACTGAAAGGTTGATGGTTCAAATCCACCCAGAGGCGCTTTGGAAGAAAAGCCTGGCAGTCTACTTCCAAAATATCACAGCCATTGAAAACCCTGTGGGGCACAATTCTACTCTGAAACACATGACGTCACCATGAGTCAGAATAGACTCGATGGCCGCTGGTTTGCCTTGGTTTTTTAGGAGCTCAGTGAATCCAGAGAGATTGTATGCAAGGCAGTTATGCGGGAGGGTATTGTTCAGCCTATGTTTGAATCTTGGTTCTGCAACTTGGACAATGTATTTAACCTCTCTGGGCCCCTTCTAAGGAGCCCTGGTGGCACAGTGGTTAACTGCTTGGCTGCTAACCAGAAGGTTGGTAGTTTGAACCCACCAGCTGCTCTTCTGGAGAAAGGTGTGACAATCTGCTTCCGTAAACATTACAACCTTGGAAACCCTATGGGCAGTTCTACTCTGTCTTATAGGGTCACTTTGAGTCATAATCAACTTGATGGCAATGGATGTTTTTCAGGGTTCCTTCTATACAGTGAGGTAAAAGTAATACCTATTTCATCGGGTTGTTGTGAAGATTAGATATTTTGATATTTATTCCTGGAACATGGTAAGCACTTAAATTAATGTTAGCTCTTATTGTTTGTTTTTATGTTCAACATTTAAAGTTTGTTTTCATAATTAAATATGAGAATTGCAGTGATTTTTTACAAGTAGTATGGGAGTATAAGCTATAAAACATAATGTAAGATAGGGCAATACACATTATTTTTAGTTCAAAATAGTGTGATTGTTTTCCTATTTTAAATATGACAGAAACATTTTATTTGTTATGAATTTATTGGGCAGAAGACAACATGAGAAGAGGTATTTGATTTAATAAATCCTTATAAGCAACTTTTTATAGTTTGTTCGTCTTTAGTGACTCAAAGGTAGAATGTTATTTTCATCCAAATTATTGTGAAAAGACAAAAATTTTTTGTTTTTTTTAAAGTTAAATTTAAGGAAAACACCTGTAAATAATAATGCTAACATTTATAGAGTGCTTACTGTGTGGTACACACTGTTCAAGATATTTTTCTTATATTAGTTCATTTAATCCTTGCAACATCCAATGAGGAAGATTCTATTATTGTTCCCATTTTACAGATGAAGAAGTGGAGACCCAGAGAGGTTACATGACTTGGTGAAGGTTATACAACTAGGGAGAAGATTCCATCCTATGTAGCCTGACCTGAGAGCCCATGCTTTTAACTGTTGCACTCTGTTGCTTAACATTCAGATAGAAAAAGAGTAAGTTTAACTGATTAAATACAATACCGATATGTTTACAGTGAGTTTGTATTAATCCAAGAATTTATTTTCAAGAGTGTTTAAAAACTTAATTCCATTGTGGAAATACATATGTGCAACATTTCATTTTTTTCTTTTAGTTTTTCAGTTATGGAACAAAAATATTATATCAAAACATTGAAGCTTCAAGTTCTAAGTTCTTTCCACCCATTCGAAAAGCGATGCTGCCACCTGATAGTTTTCAAGGAAAAGTGGCGTTCATTACCGGGGGAGGGACTGGCCTTGGTAAAGGAATGACAACTGTTCTGTCCAGCCTCGGCGCCCAGTGTGTCATCGCTAGCCGGTAAGTCATCTCAGCAAGTTGCAAGAGAGTCCTTTGAAGAAACAGTTCTGCCGTAGTATCGAAAACACTGTTTGCCAAAGTGGTTTGATTTGCATCTTATATAAAATACCCTTGTTGTTAGTTGCCTTGGAGTCGATTCCTACTCATGGCGCCCCTCTGTGTGCAGAGTAGAACTGCTCCGTAGGGTTTTCAAGGCCATGACCTTTCAGAAGCAGATCTCCAGGCCTGTCTTCCAAGGTGCCTCTGGGTGGGTTCACACCACCACCCTTACGATTAGTAATCCAGCGCTTAACCATTTGTGCCACCCAGGGACTTAAAACACCCTTAGATGAGTTAAATAAATTTCTTTGGAGAAAGTCAGATGTAATTTGAGATATTAGAAATGATGACAATGATGGAACTAATGATATGTACATTTCCCAAATTCAGACATAGAATATTTTTTCTGAACATGAAGATGAAGTTAAAAAGTACTACACTCAGACTTTTGTTTTCAGTGGGAGTAACTATGATTACTATTTCAATAGTTAATTAACCTTGAGGAGAATGGATATAATCCTTCCGTTTTTCTATAAGATGGACAGGTATTTCAGAGCATCTTTGTTGTGATGAATGTAGGAAGAGTAAGACATATAGAAGGAGTTTCTTCTTATGTAAGCATATTCTGGTACTCTATGCCTACATAAGGCTCCCTGGTGGTAGAACGGTTAACCACTTGGCTGCTAAGTGAAAGGTTGTATATTTGAACCCACCTAACGGCTCCACGAGAGAAAGACCTGGTGATCTGCTTCTGTAAAGATTATAGCCAGGAAAAACCTATGGGGCAGTTCCACTCTGTCACACAGTGTCACTATAAATTGGAATCATCTAGGCAGCACCCAACAACAACAACAACATACCATTGTAAGCCTGGAGCTTTAGAGACTGGTCAAAAAAATCTACCTGTTCCTCCAGTTTTGAATGGTGTAAAATGTTTAGATAGGACTAATCTAAATGACAGTCACTATGTCACTCACAAAGGGCCACAGGTATTTTTTAGTTGTTTTTCTTTAATGTAAATTGGCTAGAACTTTTTTTTTTTCAATGTTGTAATGTTGTTAAGAGTTTTAAAATACTATTTTCAATGTAATACTACATAGTTTGTACTCATGGTTTATTTTTCATTTTTCTCTCAAGGACATGAGACTAAGAATGCATATAGGTAGTCCAGACCCACAGATTTGGTGTAAAATTACTAACATTATGCTGTCGTGTATTTTCCTTCTAAAGCTGGTTTGAGCAAAGGAACAGATAAAATGATTGCAATTAAGGAAAAGATTTTACATCTCCAAGTAGAAAATACTGTAGTAACCGATTTAAAAGTGAAGAATTCAATAACTTAGTGTGAGGTATAAAAATTGTTTGAATTTAACTTTGGGAAAATGAATTCATCCCTACTAATTTGTCTGTAGATAAAAACTTTTGTATCTCCTCAAGACCATTTCTCCTTATTTATGTTATAGATTTTCTGTGTTCTTTAATTTTTCGAATTAAAAAGAAAAAAATACACAGCATTAACAGGATACAAACCATAGCCATCAATACACAAACCCCAGAAGATAAGCTAGATAACTGTGATCTTCTAAAAATCAAACACCTATGCCCTTCAAAAGACTTCACCAAAAGAGTAAAAAGAGAACCTACAGACTGGGAAAAAATTTTTGGACGGTACAAGTCAGACAAAGGTCTAATCTCCATAATCTACAAGAAAATCCAACACCTCTACAACAAAAAGACAAATAATCGTATTAAAAAATGGTCAAAAGAAATGAACAGACACTTCACCAAAGAAGACATTCAGGTGGCTAACAGACACAGGAGGAAATGTTTGAGATCACTAGCCATTAGAGAAATGCAATTTAAAACCACAGTGAGATACCATCTCACCCCGGCATTACTGGCACGAATCCAAAACACTGGAAACAACAAATGTTGGAGAGGCTGTGGGGAGATCGGAACTCTTATGAACTGCTGGTGGGAATGCAAAATGATACAACCATTTTGGAAAATGATATGGTGCTTCCTTAGAAAGCTAGACATAGAAATACCATACGATCCAGCAATCCCACTCCTGGGAATATATCCTAGAGAAATAAGAGCTGTCACTCTAATAGCCATATGCACACCCATGTTCATGGCAGCATTGTTCACAATAGCAAAAAGATGGAAACAACCTAGATGCCCATTAACAGATGAATGGATAAACAAGCTACATACACACAATGGAGTACTATGCAACGATACAGAACAGTGATGAATCTTTGAAGCATCTTATAACATGGATGAAACTGGAGGACATTATGCTGATTGAAATAAGTCAGTCACAAAAGGACGAATATTGTATGAGACCTCTATTGTAAAAACTCATGACAAGGTTGACACACAAAAAGTACAATCTTTATTGGTTACCCAGGGTGGGAGGGGTGGGGGGTAGGGAAATACTGAATAGACAATAGATAAGTGGTATCTTTGGTGAAGGGTGAGACAGTACACAATACTGGGGAAGTCAGCACAACTTGTACAAGGAGATGTCATGGAAGCTCCATAGACGTATCCAAACTCCCTGAAGGACTAAATTGCTGGGTGGAGGGCTGTGGGGACCATGGTCTAGGGGAACATCTAGCTCAACTGGCATAACATGGTTTATAAAGACAATGTTCTACATTCTACCTTGGTAAGTAGCGTCTGGGGTCTTAAAAGCCTTTGAGCAGCCATCTAAGATATTCACTGGTCTCACCCCTTCGGGAGCAAGGGAGAATGAAGAGAACAGGATATAAGGAAAAGATTAGTCCAAAGGACTGATGGACCACAGCTACCAAGGCCTCCACCAGACTGAGTCCAGTACAACTAGATGGTGCCCGGCTACCACCACTGCCTGCCCTGACCGGGATCACAACAGAGCATTCTGGACAGAGCTGGAGAAGGATGTAGAACAAAATTCTAACACACACAAAAGAAAGACCAGATTTACTGACCTGAAAGAGACTGGAGAAGCCCCAAGAGTATGGCCCCCAGACACCCTTTTAGCTCAGTGGTGAAGTCACTTCCGAGGTTCACCGTTCAGCCGGGGATTGGACAGCCCCATAAAACAAAATGGGACTAATGACGCACAGCAGTCCAGGAACAAGGACTAGAAGGCAGAAGGGGACAGGAAAGCTGGTAATAGGGAACCAAGGTTGAGTAAGGGCGGTGTTGACATGTAATGTAGTTGTTAACCATTGTCATAGGGAAACGTGTACTAACTGTTTAATGAGAAACTATTTTGTTCTGTAAACCTTCATCGAAAGTGAGAATAGCAGCACAACTGAAAGAACGTAATCGATGTCACTGAACTGTGCATGTAGAGCTTTTTGAAATGCTATCTCTTTGGCTGTGTATATTTTCACCAAAAAAAAAAAGGTCAAGAAGGGAGAGGGTTGACATGTCATGGGGTTGTTAACCAAAGTCATAAAGCAATATGTGTACTGACTGTTTAATGAGAAACTATTTGTTCTTTAAACTTTCAGCTAAAGTACAGTAAAAAAAGAAAAAAATACATAGTCTGAAGTCATTTCAAAACTCATACAAAATACTGTGTCTTCTAGGAATATTGATGTTTTGAAAGCTACTGCAGAAGAAATTTCTTCTCAAACTGGAAATAAGGTACATAAAAAGATAATTTAAAATTCAGAAATTATAATATATTTAAGTAGTTTACTGATGTCTTTGGTTTAGGAAATCTGAAAAATGTAAGATTCCTTTTACGCTTTGTTATTTTGTAGGTTCATGCAATTCAGTGTGATGTGAGGGATCCTGATATGGTTCAGAACACCGTGTCAGAACTGATCAAAGTCACAGGACATCCTGATGTAAGTGTGATGATGATGAGGCCAAAGTATGAGGTGTTTGATGTTGAGAGCACCTACCAGCATGTACTAAGGAAATAAAATACTAATGTGAGAAAGTGCTGTGTTGAGAAGGCCGTATTTTCTGTCACTAAGAAATTGTACTTTCAGATGCCAACTCTGCTTGAAGCAGGATACAGATTACGTGGAGTGTTAACGCCACTTCCTGTCGGGAGTACTTAAGAAATACATTTGCCATCATATAGAACAAACTTGATTTCACTGTATTTAATAAGATTATGAAATAACAAGAACAGTTACCGAAGGCACGATATCTAGTTTAGATGATGCTCTTTGCTTTTTCAAATAACTTTTGATTATCTCAATCAGTGGAGGAGAACAATACAAACAACGAAAGCTACAGGAAACTCCGAATTTCTCCTTGTAAGACCTGAGATATATGTGGGTATTTTGCTGTTGTTTGGTTCACATATTAGAAAGCCATTTCCTCCAATAGCCTCAAAGAGAGCACTTTTGTATGTTAAAGATATTTTCAGACAGACCAGTAATACGGAATCTGCTATAGAACTAAGCAGAATCTCTATTGATAATGAAGAAACAGGTTACCAGCCACCCAGTTTACTTGGAGCAAGTTAAACCAAAATGACCACCAGTAAACCAGTTGCTGTTGAGTCGATTCTGATTCCTGGTGACTCCCTTGTGTCAGAGTGGAACTGTCCAGTGGTTGATTTTGGGGAAGTAGATTACTAGACTTTTTCTTTTGAGGCACGTCTTAGTGGATTTGAACCTCCAGCCTTTCAGTTAGCAGTTGATCATGTGAACCATTTGCACTACCCAGGAACTCCAAACCAAAATAACACCAGAAATTAAAAGGTATTTCTTGAGATTCCTTGACATAAAGTGTAGTCACATGGCTGTTTTGGTATTAGTTGCATCGAGTCGCTTCTGACTCAGGGCGAACCCATATGTGTAGAGTAGAACTGCTTCATAGGATTTTTAAGGCTGTGACCTTTCAGAAGAGGATCACCAGGACGGTCTCATGGTATTGTTTCGTAGTTGACTGTGAACTTCAGCTCTATTGTACTATTTGGATTAATAAAGTTCAGAAATAAAAGCCCTTGAGAAAATATTCTTCTTCATCTAATAGTTTCTGTAACTTGCCTTATCCATTTATTAGGTCGTGATAAACAATGCAGCAGGGAATTTTATTTCTCCCACTGAAAGGCTCTCTCCTAATGCTTGGAAGACCATAACTGGCATCGTTTTAAATGGTACTGCTTTTGTGACTCTAGAAATTGGAAAGCAACTGATAAAAGCACAGAAAGGTAAGTTTGTTTATCCATCACACATGTATTAGGCCCCTACTATGGGCACTTTGTGCTAAGCACTACAATACCTACAATAGTCAATGAGACAGCATCTGTCCTTAGACAACTCTCAATCTAATGGAGAAAAAAGATACTTAAATAATGGCTGTACATTGTGATACAGCCCATACAAAATATGTTTCAAATGCCATGGAAATCTGAAGACAGGAATGGCTAACTCTGGTTAGGGTTGGTGAGCAGGTTGAGGAACAACATGCAATTTGAGCTGAATTTTCAAAGATCTATACCTGGAGAAGGGAGGGGGGAAGGAATTGTGAATGTCCATGGATGGAGGCTGGTGGAGGGGGGATGCAGAAAGGTTTATGGAATGATGAGAAATTTGATGTGATTAGAGATAGGGAGGCAGAGTGGTGGGGAATAATTTTGGGAAGGTGGGTTGGAGTCTAATTGGAAAATGTCCCGGAGCCAAAATAGGGAGTTTGATGTTAATTCTGAAGGAAATGGGGAGCTATTTTCTAAATGGATTTCCCTAGAAGGTGTTTCATGAAGGATGTGATGTGATTGGAAAGGTTAATGGCACCAGTGTGGGTGATGGAAAAGATTAGAGAGAACCTATTCAGGAGGGTTTGTTTTTTCTTTTGGCATGTGGATAGATGGCAAAAGGGATAAATTCGGAAACTTTTAAAAGATAAGATCAACAGGACCTACTAATTAGATAAGAGAGTTTTTGCTGTTGTTATTAGCTGCCATAGACCCCATGCACAGTGAGATCTTACCTTTGTGATCCATAGGGTTGTCATTGGCTCATTTTCAGTAGATGGCCAGGCCTTTCTTCTTAGCCAATCTTAGCCTGGAAGCTCCGCTGAAACCTGTTCAGTATTATAGTAACATGCAAGCCTCCACTGACAGATGGGTGGTGGCTGTGCATGAGATGCACTGGCCAGGAATCGAACCTGGGTCTCCTGCATAGATGGAGAGGATTCTGCCACTGAACCACCCATTCTCTCAGGAGAGTTTCTAGCTGAGTTGAATAGTTTGGGTGGTGATGTCTTCACTGAGGTTGAGAACACTGCATGAGGAATAGATTTAGAGGGAAGTTACTGAGAGAACATTTTAGTTTAGTACTATGAACAAACTTCTTTATAAATGTTCATGCATATATAAATAGTAAATATATGTGTACTATTTGTATGTGTGTATATACATATATGTCTAGAACCTTTATCTGTTCATTTAATAGATGCTTACTGATGACTTTTATGTACTAGCCCTGTGCTGTGTGTCACGGGCACAGAGGTGGCCAAGACTCTGTCCCAGAGTAAGTTAGGGTTGGGACTTGAGGAATGAGAGTATTTTCTCAGACAGGATGGGGAGTATTCTGAGCAAGAATAAGGAGGAACAGTTCTTGTGCTTCTCAAAGGATGTCCTTCAAGGTTGAGGGGAGGAAGGAGGGTGTGGAGCTGGCCTGGTTTCTTCGTCTGATTCCAAAGCCTCTGCCTCACTAGGTTCAATTTCTTCTGTGTAGCATGGGTAGTCCTCAGAGCAGCTTGAGAAAGAATGTGGGGGCAGGCAGACGGATGCTATAGAGGCACTAGCTTTTTTTATGCTAAGAGTTTCTATCCTTTCTCCATGCACTCATGAAATTGAAATTGAAATCCCAGCTACAGCAAAGAGAGTGTCATTTAAATTGGGAGTTTTTTTTTTTTTAAATTTAATTATATTTTTTCAGAAGGGGTGGATGACTGGAAAAGGAGACAGGAAAGAGTGGTGGGCTGACTCCTCTTTCTTCCCCTTCTATCTGGGGAATAGAGGGCCTTGATCTCTCTCTCTCCTCCCTTTCTATGCTTCAGCCTGACGCTCTCTCCCTAATCTCTTACTCATCTCTCTGTTTTTTTCTCTGTCTCTCTGTCGACTCTTCCCTTTTGGTTCTCTGTTTCTCTCTTCATCTCGGCTTCTTTCATCACTGTCTTTCTCTGCATCATTGCCTCCTTTATTTCTTACCCTGCCCATCTCTGTGACCCTTGATTTCTACATTTCCTTTCTTTTCTCATCATTGTCTTTCATTCTTACATAGGCTTTGATCTATTTTTATTCATCACACTGGATTAAAATTCCATGGGCTTCATTAAAAATATATTAGGTAAGTCTTTAAAAGATGGAAGCCAGTTTTTATTCTTCCAAGATTCCTGTCAGTTATCGATGATATAACTTGACAGAGTTGTAAGGACTTGGACCACTGGGCTAAGGAGAGTACTGGTACCAGGTCTATTCTGGTATTAGATCAACAGTCAGGGAATTCAGGAGCTCATGATCTTTAAAGTATGTCAAAGTGTATAAGCCTGGAAGTCAGTTCAGATGTCAACAATCCTGGTAATCTGTGGTCAGAAGTATATTAGGGGGTCTCATATCTAGAAAGTCAAAAAATAAAAAATATCTGGGAAATCAGATAGAGAAGGTAACAGCACCAGCAACTAAGAGATAGAAGCTTGCTTGTCAGGGGTAGGATTGGTGACAACGTGTGCTTAGGGAGGGGGCAGTAGACAGCAAAAGATCAAGAGAATTGTAGTCTTTGCTGGGGCAGAGAAACTAGAATTAGAGGAATATTGTTAAAATATGTTTCTGTGCAGCACTAATGCAAAATTAACAATTATGAACACATAAAAGATTTAGGGAATTTCTAAAGACATTTAGCCCAGTGTTGTCTTGTAGCTATAAAGGTCAATAAATAATGATTGATCCTTATTGGAAAGGATATTGACAATATCATGCCAAAGTCCATTCATCACTATAAAATCATGTATAAATGTAAAAACATAGTAAATAGTATGGAAAGGAGTACCTAATTTTATTAAGAGATTGAGAGAATTCGCAATGAAGAAATATCAAGAGAGAGGCTAATTTTGGGTTTTATTTAAGAATCTGGTCACAATCTCGTATGGATAGGGTAAATACTGAATTTTCTCATCAAATCCTAGATTATTAGAAGTAATATACTTCTGGAAACTAATAAGAGGTAATTTTAGGATATATAATAATAAGTATTTTTTTGAAGTAGCATTAATAATACTTTGTACCCTTGTCCAAAACAAACCTGTTGCCATCAAGTCGATTCTGACTCATAGCGACCCTATAGGACAGGGTAGAACTCCCCTATACGGTTTCCAAGGAGCAGCTGGCAGATTTGAACTGCTGACCTTTTTTTGGTTAGCAGCCTGATGTCTTAACCACTGCGCCACCATGGCTCTGTGTCCCTATAGGACCCTGGTGGCGTAGTGGTTAAGAGATCGGCTGCTAACCAAATACTCAGCAGTTCAAATCCACCAGCCACTCCAGTTCTACCTTGTCCTAGGGTCTCTATGAGTCAGAATCAACTAGATGGCAATGGGTTTGTACCTCTATAGGACTTTATGTTTTACAAAGCGCTTTCACATACTAGTGTGGAATCAGTATGCAACTCAAGAAATACAGATACAAATAAGCAAAAATACAGATAGATTCAAGAAAAGATTAAATCAGTGCATAATATAGCTCTAATATATTATTCTTATTTGTTAAAATTGAAATAAAATTTACATATAGTGAAATGTACAGATCTTACATGTACAAATTGGTGAGTTTTAATAAATGTATACACTTATGTAACTATTACCCTAATTAAGACATAGGACATTTCCATAACTTCCAAAAGTTCCCTCTTGTCACCTTCAATTCAGTCTTCACCATCTGTTTAAACCTTTAGCCCATTTTTTATTGGCTTGTTTGACTTTTTATTATTGATATATAGAAATTCTTTGTATAATCTGAACTGAGTACTTTGTCACATGTATGTATTACTATTTCTTCCCAGTCTGTGGCTTGCCTTTTTACTTTTTTGAAGAGTGTCTTTCGATGAGCGGAAGAAATTTAAATCTGGATGACTCTGCCAAACTGTTTTCCAAACTAGATGAGCCATATTACATTCCCAACGATTTATAAGTTACAGTTGTTCCAGGTCCTTCCCAAAACTTGCTGTTGTCAGTCTTTTTCAAATTTTAGTCATTTTTTGCATAGTGGTTTTTCATTTGTGATTTTAACTTACATTTCCCTAATGACTAATGATGTCGAGCATCATTTCATGTATTTATTCATCATTTGTACATATTCTTTGATGAAGTGTCTATTCAAATCTTTTGTCCATTTTTAAATTGAGTTTGTATTCTTGGTATTGAATTGAAAGAATTTAAAAAATATGTATTCCGAATACAAGTTCCTTATCAATTATATGTTTTGAAAATATTTTGTCAGTCTTTTTTGTGTTCTTAGCAGTGTCTTCTGAAGAGGAAAGGTTTTTAATTTTGACGTTGTCCAACTTAAGTAATTTTTAATGCTTTTTGAGTTCTATCTAAGAAATCTTGCCTAGCCCAAGGCCACAAATAATTCCTGCAGGTTTTTTTCTAGAAGTTTTATAGTTTTAGCTCTTACATTTAGGTCAGTGATCCATTTTGAGTTAATGTATGTATATGGTATGAGGTTGAGGTTCATTTTTTTACATATGGCTATCGATTCTTTCCGCATTGAATTACCTTGGTACTTTTGTCAAAAGTTGAACTAAATAAAATACTTTACACTGCTTTTGCAACTAAGTTAAAATAAATGATCAAAAAATACAAGGTGTTTAACTATCCTGCTTTTCTCCCGATTACATAATGTGTCAACTGTAAACATAAATATACGTTTCAAAACATTCTTATTTTCAGATCCATAGATACTGTGTCTGGCCAGTTACTCTTTCCTCGTTGTCCATAGTCTCACTCTCTCAGCCTGTCCAGGCTCATGTCCTTCCAGAATAGCCCCTTGTTTGGCTGCTCCTTTGCATAGTCTGTAACTAGACTCATTCTTTCCCTATCCAAGCTGTACAGAATACTCATGCCCAGCTCTAGTCGCATTCCTCTGTGAAGGAGGCTGTAATGCACAGTTTAGCATTTAAATCATGCTCCATGTTATGATTTTAAGCTTGG